CACGCACCTGCAGTACGATGATCGCCATTTGCTCGAACAGCTGCAAGCCTGCTCGAGCTTGCTGAGTACCGTTGCACAGCGCATGAGTGAGAAGAACGTGATCATCCACAATCTGCAGGAAAACTCCAACCGAGAACGCAACGCAATGTTGTACGAGATCTCGACACTGAAATGGCAACTTGCCGTCGAGAAACAGAACGCGAAGATTGCGGCGCAGAAGCGAGAAATCAGTCATGGCGCGGAAGAGGAGGAAGCGTGTCGAGATGGTGGAGCTGAGACCACCAAGCCCGAAGTGGAGCCCGAGCAGGCCGAGGAATGGAGCTTGCAGTCGCTCGAGGCAGAGCGCCACAAGGTACAACAACAACAACAACAAACCTTAGAACCAAAGCCTCATCAGAGGGATCAAGTCAAGGTGCTCGTGCAGCGAAGGGCAGAGAGACCTGCCCCTCAGAGCCCACAGGCAGCGGAGACAGAGAGCTGGCAATCCGCCCGCGAGACTGTTTCTCCGAGCGTCGAGCATGCGCCTCAGCAGAGACTGGGGGAGGGGCAGGGGCAGGGGCAGGGGCAGTGGAGGTCTAAACGCAAACGCGCGCTCCGCTGTGGTGATGGTAGCTAGCTTCGTGTGTTGGAGCGCCATGCTAGTGTGGTACTGCATCAAGTACCTTCTTCTGCTGGGGCACGATGTGGGTACATTTGTACACTCGATAGTAGATCCCCAAGCGGCACCAGGAATCGTCTAGAGGAGGGAAGCATGTGATGTGCATAAGCGTTATCTAGATCAAAGACAGTAACGTCCGTCCCTACGTGCCGGGACGCACCGTGTGACGGGACACCTTTTCTTCCGGATGCTCGGGCTGTCTGTAACATACTTAAAAATAGACAAACGTAATGCGCATCTATTCTACAGCTCTTGCTCTTCTAGTGCATCACCCTCCGACGCCGAAAAGCGTGTTGTTGATCATGCTGTCGCTCATTTTGTCAGCGCCGTCCATCGACTCTTCTCTAGTACCCCCTTGTTCGTTCGCGACGATATAAACTTCTACATAGCTCGGTGGGCTAGAAAGAAAACTAAGATAGCAAAGATTACGACTGCACACTCAAAGAGTCGACTTAAGGTGAGCAGTGTGCATCCCGGCATTTTCTCCGCGCTGGCGACAATATCATCAAAACGTGTCAAACCGGCCGTGCGACGCGACGATATTTGGTAGCAATAGCGTGATGAGATATATGCGAGGGGTTGCGCGCTGTGGCTAAGAGCTGCGGCTCCCACTTATCACCTAACCTTAGACCGCTCTTATTCCCGGGCTGTGTAGGCAGCCGCCCTCGTCGCACAGAGCCAGGCGGAACGTTATTAGGAGAACCTTTGTAGATTAGTTAGATGAATTTACTGGCATCTTACGCACATGTGCACTCTTCTAACATGAGTTTGCAAGGCAAACACTGCCCTAGCGCAGATGGTGAGGGGAGGCCGTGCAGGACGCTGGGCGCTTGATGCAGCCAGCCGGGTTGCATGCACTGCCTCACCAGGCTGGCTTCTCTGCCTTATCGCAAAGATGCCATTCTACTCCCGTTAACATTCTACTCTCACTAATCCACCACAAAAGTTGTTTATGCCTCTAATTCTTTAGACTAAAATCCGAGCTGCAAGCGCCATGCGGCTTCTCCACTTTGACGCGATGGGAAGGCCCGTCCTGACGGATTTCCGCGACAAAACGATTCCGCCCTACGCCATTCTGTCGCATAGATGGAGTGGTTCCGAGATTCTCTTCAACGACGTTCAGAGCGGAGCTTACAGGGAGAAGGAAGAAAGCTATAAGAAGCTTGCGTTCTGCGCCAAACAGGCAGCCCAGGACAAGCTGCAGTACTTCTGGGTCGACACTTGTTGCATCGACAAGTGGAATCTCGCTGAGCTCTCAAAGTCGATCAACTCGATGTTCCAGTGGTACAAGAACGCGGTACGATGCTACGTCTTCTTGTCAGATGTGTCAGTGTCGACCACGACCGAGCCAGCCCAACGCAGCGACTGGGAGGCGTCCTTCCGTGCAAGCGCATGGTTTACGCGGGGATGGACGCTGCAAGAGCTTATCGCGCCAGTTTTGGTTGAGTTCTTTTCGTGCGAGGGACGGCGCATAGGCGATAAAATATCGCTCGACCAGCTCATACACGAGATCACCAATATCCCGCTCGCGGCATTGCACAACTGCCCCTTGGACCAGTTCCCTATATCCGAGCGGGAGAGATGGGCCAAAAATCGCAGAACAACTGAGGCAGAAGACACTATTTACTGCCTGCTTGGGATCATCGGCATCTCTATGCCCACCGTGTATGGCGAAGGACACGAGAGTGCACGAAGCAGGCTGCTGGCTGAAGTAGAGGCAGCTGATAACGTACCGTCGATCATTCCGTTCTCACGAAACCCCCGCTTCGTCGGTCGAGAGTCGCAGCTCGCCAAGCTAGAAGCAAAGCTCTTCACCAACGAACAGACCACTACTACACTAGCGATCGTCGGACCTAGCGGAACAGGCAAGACGCAGCTTGCGCTCGAGGTTGCACACAGGACAAGACAGAACAAAAGAAGCTGCTTAGTCTTCTGGATGGACGCAAGCGACAAAGACAGCCTCTACCAGTCGTATGCAAGTGTTGCGCAGAAGCTTGGTGTTCTAGGCTGGGACGACGATCAGGCCGACATGAAGCAGCTTATAAAACGCTGTCTAGTAGAGGTTGGTGCTCGACAATGCTTGCTGATCTTCGACAACGCAGAGCACATCACTCTGCGATCTGGCAGCACGACAGAAGCCGCAGACCTGGCAGACTGTCTACCGCAGTCTACGCTATGTTCTGTTATTTTCACAACAACGAACAACGACACAGCTCAGGCGCTCGCTTCACAGAACGTCGCAGAGCTGCGAGAGCTGACACTAGACGCGGCGCTAAAGATGCTGCAAGTTCGCTTAGCGAGGCCACTTACGAACATTGAGCAGCAGGAAGCCGAACACTTGCTGGGAGAGCTATCGTATCTCCCTCTGGCAGTCATGCAAGCAGCGGCCTGCATGAATGCTAGCGATATGACGGTGCAAGAGTATCGATCACGACTAAACGGGTACAAAGAACTAGCTAGCGAACACGGCGGTGACTTGTCTAAATGTAGACTAATGTTACTAGATTCTGGGGTGAAAGGCCCTGTAACTGCCACAACTTTTCTTTCCATAAATCAGATGAGTCGGGATCACAGATTCGCTGTAGACTGTCTGTTTCTTGTTGCATGCGTGGAGCGAAAAGACATATCGCTCGATCTGCTAGAGGCAGGCTCGATGCAAGCAAGGGAAGATGCTGTCAAGTTACTTGACAAGTTCGCGCTCATCACCAGACGACCTGCGGAGTCTGCGCTCGATCTTCATCGATTAGTCCATCAATCCCTGCGCGAGCGGCTGCAAATGCAGGGACAGCTTATACAGTTCACTCAACGCACCATTACACAGCTACTTCGGGTGTTCCCAAACGATGACCATAGTAACAGAAGCAAGTGGAGACGACTGCTTCCGCACGCCAAGTATGCTTTGTCGCATAGTCCGATAGATGATAATAACGACGAGCGATGGTATCTTGCATGGAAGTGTGCTACGACTCTGTCTAGTGACGGACGGTATGAGGAAGCAGCAGTGCTGCAGATGCAAGTGATGCAGACAAAGAAGAGGGTGCTTGGCGACGAGCATCCAGACACGCTGAGCAGCATGCATGATCTAGCGGGGACGTATGCGAGCCAAGGGCGTTGGAAAGAGGCTGAAGAGCTGCAGGTGCAGGCGATGCAGACAAGAAAGAGAGTGCTTAGCGATGAGCATCCAGACACGCTGAAGAGCATGATTAGCCTAGCGGAGACGTATGCGAGCCAAAGGCGTTGGAAAGAGGCTGAAGAGCTGCAGGTGCAGGTGATGCAGACGGCAAAGAGAGTGCTTAGCGATGGGCACTCAGACATGCTGAACAGCATGATTAGCCTAGCGAGGATATATACGAGCCAAGGGCGTTGGAAAGAGGCTGAAGAGCTGCAGGTGCAAGAGCTGCAGACGGCAAAGAGAGTGCTTGGCGACGAGCATCCTAGCACGCTGACCAGCATGACCCACCTAGCGGCGATGTATGCGAGTCAACGGCGTTGGAAAGAGGCTGAAGAGCTGCAGGTGCAAGAGCTGCAGACGGCAAAGAGAGTGCTTGGCGACGAGCATCCTAACACGCTCACTAGCATGTCCTATCTAGCGTTAACGTACTGGAACCAAGGGCGATGGAAGGAGGCCGAAGAGCTGCTAGTGCAAGTACTGCAGACGAGGAAGAGAGTGCTTGGTGACGACCATCCTTACACGCTGATCGGCATGGCCAACCTAGCGGTGAGATACAGGATGCAAGGAAAATGGAAGGAGGCCGAAGGCTTAGAGGTGCAAGTAATGCAGACGAGGAAGAGAGTGCTTGGCGACGAGCATCTGGACACGCTGGCTAGTATGCATAATCTAGCGGCGACGTACAGGAGCCAAAGACGATGGTATGAGACTGAAAAGCTAGAGGTGCAAGTGATGCAGACAAGAAAGAGAGTGCTTGGCGATGAGCATCCAGACACGCTGAATAGTATGGCCAACCTAGCGGAGGGGTATAGAAGCGAAGGACGGTGGAAAGAGGCCGAAGAGCTGGAGGTGCAAGTACTGCAGACGAGGAAGAGAGTGCTTGGTGACGACCATCCTTACACGCTGATCGGCATGGCCAACCTAGCGGTGAGATACAGGATGCAAGGAAAATGGAAGGAGGCCGAAGGCTTAGAGGTGCAAGTAATGCAGACGAGGAAGAGAGTGCTTGGCGACGAGCATCTGGACACGCTGGCTAGTATGCATAATCTAGCGGCGACGTACAGGAGCCAAAGACGATGGTATGAGACTGAAAAGCTAGAGGTGCAAGTGATGCAGACAAGAAAGAGAGTGCTTGGCGATGAGCATCCAGACACGCTGAATAGTATGGCCAACCTAGCGGAGGGGTATAGAAGCGAAGGACGGTGGAAAGAGGCCGAAGAGCTGGAGGTGCAAGTACTGCAGACGAGGAAGAGAGTGCTTGGCGACGATCATCCTAGGTAGCACGTTGACTAAGGTGCGTCCCTGGGTGAAGAGACACACTGGGTGACGAGACACTTTTTCGTCCGGACCTTCGGAATCGCGTCACAAGACCTGTATAAGCTCAATCTCGACGCGCTTGTATTCTATAGCTGTTGCTCCTTACGTATACTCGCCTCCGAGTAGAGAAAGTGTGGTGTTGGACGTGCTGTCCGTCGTTCTACTAATAGCGTTCATCATCCCTCTATTAGTAACCCCCTGTTTACTCGCGACGGCGTATATTTGTAGAGCGTTCGGAGCGGCGGACTGGAAGTCCGGTTGCTAAAGATGGAGACCGCAGGCTCCGAAGGTCAGCTTATCATAACGAACATGAATTCCGGCAGTTTCTCCGTGTGGAGGGCATTATCGCCAAGACATTCTCCGCAGGGAACTAGGCTCTAGCTACTCTTGGCATGCAGCGAGCTGCAGTAGCGTGCTCAGATATGCCTGTGGCGGTGGCTGTCGTGCATGATAGCTGGAGTCTAGGAGCCTCGACAGCGGCCACTTGCACAGTCTTGTTGGTTCCACTAAGTGTGCCCCGCAAGCACCTACTATAGTAAGTTTGCCGGCTGCCCCGCCATCCCGCAATGATTTAGGCACCAGCCGATTCAACTACCCCGCATCCGCAAACAGTACGTCTTATGAGCAAGTTTCTTAACATTGTCTCTGCTAACTTATCACAGCTAGAATTGTTGCAATGTCTCAGAAAACGTGGAACGAGAATTCCTTCACGGTATGCCTAGAACGCGAGCATAGTTTAACTATAGCTAACGATACAGATGTAGATGGTAACTAGGCTGTTGAATATTCTACACGTTAATGCTAACTAACATAAATATAGGAGGTGAGCAAGCTGACGGACGTTAAGGCACAGAGCAGATGCTAACTCTGGTGTGCCTGGTGGTGTAGGTAGTAAGTCGACCTAGGAGCGTGAATGTGCGAGGCGGCTGCTAATCTTAGTGTGTCTGGTGGTGTAGGCAGTAAGTCGACCTAGAAACGTGGATGTGTGAGGCAGCTACTAACCTTAGTATGTCTGGTCGTGTAGGACGTAAGTCTACCTGCGAACGTAGATGCGCAAGGCGGGTGCTAACCTTAGTGTGTCTGGTGGTTTAGGGAGTAAGTTAACCTAGAAACGTGAATGCACGAGGCAGCTGCTGACCTTAGTGTGTCTGGTGGTGTAGTATGTAAGTTGACCTAGAAACGTGGATACGCAAGGCGGCTGCTGACCTTAGTGTGTCTGGTCTTGTAGGACGTAAGTCGACCTAGAAACGTAGATGTGTGAGGCAGCTACTAACCTTAGTATGTCTGGTCGTGTAGGACGTAAGTTAACCTGGGAACGTAAATGCAGGAGGCGGCTACTAACCTTAGTGTGTCTGGTGGTGTAGTGGGTAAGTTGAACTAGAAACGTTAATGCGCGAGGCGGCTACTAACCTTAGTGTGTCTGGTCGTGTAGCAGGTAAGCTGACCTAGGAATGTAGATGTGTGAGGCAGCTACTAACCTTAGTGTGTCTGGTTATGTAGTTTGTAAGTCGACCTAGGAACGTGGATGCGCAAGGCGGCTGCTGACCTTAGTGTGTCTGGTGGTGTAGCAAGTAAGTCGACCTAGAAACGTGGATGCGCGAGGCGGCTGCTGACCTTAGTTTGTCTGGTCGTATAGGAAGTAAGTCGACCTAGAAACGTAGATGTGTAAGGCGGCTACTAACCTTGGTATGTCTGGTGGTGTAGTGGGTAAATCGACCTAGAAACGTGGATACGCGAGGCAGCTGCTGACCTTAGTGTGTCTGGTTTTGTAGAACGTAAGTCGACCTAGAAACGTAGATGTGTGAGGCGGCTGCTAACCTTAGTGTGTCTGGTGGTGTAGCCTGTATGTTTACCTAGGAAAGTGAATGTGCGAAGCGGCTGCTAACCCTAATGTGTCTGGCGATATAGGGAGTAAGTTGACCTATGCGTAGATGCGCGAGGCGGCTGCTAACCTTAGTGTGTTTGGTGGTGTAGTATGTAAGTTGACCTGGGAACGTAGATGCGCGAGGCGGCTGCTAACTCTAATGTGTCTGGCGATGTAGGGAGTAAGTTGATCTAGGAACGTGAATGCGCGAGGCGGCTGCTAACCTTAGTGTGTCTGGTGGTGTAGCAAGTAAGTCGACCCAGGAATGTAGACTTGCGAGGCAGCTACTAACCTTAGTATGTCTGGTGGTGTAGCCTGTATGTTTACCTAGGAACGTGAAAGTGTGAGGCGGTTGCTAACACTAATGTGTCTGGCGATTTAGGGAGTAAGTCGACCTAGGAACGTAGATGCGCGAGGCGGTTGCTAACCCTGATATGTCTGGCGATGTAGGGTGTAAGTCCTTTTGAAGTCCGTCGCTGACAGCTGTTGCAAATTACAATAACCTTGGGATAGCCGGACTGGTATTTCACTTTCGACAACGAATTCGCTAGAAAATTGCGCGGGGCCTTGCAAGAGCGTGGATTAGAGGACCACTCCAGTATCGTGCACCCCTGCGTCTGTTGCAGTGTCTTCGTAACAGCTTTACACATGTGGGGGGAACATCCTGAAGCTCGCCTCTCTGAGATTCGCGTCGCCTCGAGAAGCTGTGCACTCTGCAAACTACTCGTCCGGACCGCAGAACGCTTTCACGAGAACGAGAACGAGAAAGAGAACGCTGACCTTAGCGTTGTTCGAGATGGCGCGGCCTTGCGATTGAACGAAGAGGGTCCACGTATGCTGAGGCTTTGTTCTGACGTGGGTTAGTGGTCCTAGGCCCCATGATGTGCTAAAAACATTCTTTGCTTACCACCTGTCTTGAGTACAGAAAGCCCGCCCCACGACACAGATGACATCCCAATCGGCTTTCTAGTTCTTCCTGAGCCTGAAAGCGCTGCACGCTTCGCGCTCCTTCGAAGCTGGCTTGAATGGTGTGACACAACCCACGCTTGCAACCGACAGAACGTCAGATCCCAAGGTGCATCGCCAACTAGGCTGGTCTACGTTGGACATGCCGATCCAGAAGTTCTATGTCTCTATTTCCCTAAGGAAGATGAAGGCGTGAAGTATACTGCGTTGTCTCATCGCTGGGGCGACCATCCCCCAACAAAGGACGATCCTCGATACTGCACCACTGATGGCAACCTTAGTGCACGACTAAATAGATTTAGTCTCTCTGAGCTACCGAAGACATTTCAAGATGCAGTCCGAGTGACTCGGGAGCTGGGAATTGGGTATCTCTGGATTGACTCACTGTGCATCATCCAGTGGAACGCGGATGATTGGAAGCGCGAAGCGGGTCATATGGAGGACGTTTTCGCCTCGGCCTATTGTACAATCGCTGCAACCTCGGCTGTTGATTCGAATGCAGGATTCCTCGCCCGAATCAGAGGCGATGAGTACGTGCGGGTTCAAGACGCTGCAGGTAATCAAGTCTGTATCTGCGCCCATATGGATGATTTCGAGAACGACGTGGAACAAGCCGGGCTCAACAAGCGAGCTTGGGTCATGCAAGAGAGGGTCTTGGCAAAACGTACTATTCACTTCAGCGCCAATCAGACCTACTGGGAGTGTGGAGAAGGAGTGCACTGCGAGAACCTTACGAAGATGGAGAGGTAAGAGACCTACACTACCTAAATTAACATATGACTAATCAGACCTCCCTATCTTCAGCTCACCCCGAAAGAACTATTTCTTACTAGATCCAAGCTTTCCAGAGCGTCTCCTTCAATCAGGCGCAGGACGTACTGTGGAGTTCATCCACTTTCTGTTCGAGAACTACTCGAAGCGTGGACTTACCAAAGACACCGACAGATGTGTTGCTGCATCTGGGTTAGAGGCCCGTGTTGCACGCGCGCTACCGTGCAAGAACAGTAGGTATGGCATCTTCCAAGAACATCTTCACCGGAACCTACTGTGGCAGGCCTCGGATAGTAACACGAAGTGTATCATGTACGATAAAGACCGACAAGTACCGTCGTGGTCATGGATGGCATGCGGCGGAGGCATCAAATTCATGGAGGTTAAAATGGGCCGCGTTAGCTGGGTTAGTGCTCTGGCTTTCGACGCCGAGCGCAACTCTGGTGCATTGATCGCTGATGTGGGAAAGTTCCGGGAATGTACAATGGAATCTGAGGGTGATTGCTACATCATCTCCGACATCTCTACAAACAACGAGACAGGGTGGATACGTTATGATATCAAGAGCGGTGCAGAAGGTTCTGAAAATCATTGTGTCGTGGTAGGAAGGACAGAGTACAACAACGCCGCGCAGCTGTACTATGTTCTCGTCGTTGTGCCAACAGAAAAAGATGGCGAGTTTAAAAGGGTTGGAGTTGGAATGGTGAGAACTGGCTGTGTGGAGAAATCGGGGTCCGAGGTGCGAATTGTGTGACCAACGCAACCTTCGGTTATATTCAAGTCTACACAACGTGTTTCTGTTTTGGCTTTACAAGCACACACGGTGTATCTGCGTCTGCTGCTGCTTCTTTATGCCGAATACATTACCGCTTCCTACCACATACTTGGCGTTGACGCAACTGTCACTCTTGAGCGGGTTATAGTTCCGAAAAGTGATGTGCTTCATCTCAACTCCCCTCCCCTAGAAAATGGCCGGTACGCACTGGCTACAGCAGCCCACCTAGGGCGGGGCCAGAACCCAAGGAACCTAAGCGGCTGCATTGGCTGGCCGCTGCTGCGCGCCACAGCCACAGATATGTCTGAGCACGCTACTGCAGCCTGCTGCATGCCAAGAGAGGCTACAGCCTATCACCCTGTATGGTGGGTCTTGGCGATCGTGCCCCCTTGGCGGAAAAACTGCCGGAATGCCTATTTCCTGCTTTGAGTTAACTTTTCGAGCCTCTTATCTTAGCCTTTAATATCTTAGCGTCCTATGTGCCTCCCCGAACGCTGATCAGAGATGCTCTATCGTGGACGGACAGGGGGGTACTAGCAGAGGGTTGATGAACGCTATCAGCAGAACGGCCGGAAGGACGTCCAACACCATGCTCTCCCTGATCGGAGGCCACTATACTAGAAGAACTACAGCTGTAGAACTGCAGCGCATCGAGCATAAGCTTATATAGGGTTTGTGGCGCAATTCCGAAGGTCCAAACGAAAAAGTGTCTCGTCACCCAGGGCGTCTCGTCACCCAGGGACGCACCTTAGCATGAACAATCTCGCCTTCACGCTGCAGTCGTAAGCTCGCCGCCAGGAGGCTCTTGCACTGATGGAAATATGCTTCCAATTGCGCCAGCAGGTCCTTGGCCAACAACGTCATAATACACAGTCGTCGCTTGACATGCTGCATAGGTGGCGAGCGGAGTGTATTGACGAGAACCCATGACTTTATTTGCGTATGTAATGCAAGTCTCAAAGCTAGATCCCGTGACGCACTATAACTATAACCTTCAAAAGTAACTATATAGTAATACTGTAGGGGATCGTGAAAGGGATCTTGTGCAGGAAGAATCGAAGGATTGAACTGAGGTTGTATTGCAGATGCTATGGAAAGTTTATGTAGGTGAGTGACCGTAAACAGGGCTAGCCTAGATAGGCGTAGCTCGCTAAGGTGAGTAGTCGCGAGCAGGTGAAGAGCAGGAGCAGGAGAGACCCCAAACCGTGATAAACACGCAGTGGTGAATCCTAGTAACTTTAGATGTCTTGTAAAGGGGTTTAGTCCACTCTGCACGACAAATATACGCAGCGTGATAACGAACCTTATACTAGAATTGGGTGTCAGGTAATATAGCTGCCTACAAATCGGGAATAAGAGCTGCCTGAGGCAAGGGTCTCAGCGCCAGGTCCTTAGCCACAGCGCGTAATACGGCTCGCAGATATCTCAGCACGCTACTGCTGAAAAATGTCGCTTAGGACGCACAGCCGATCACATGCGTTTCCAATGATCGTGCCGTCCGCGCGGAGAAACTGCCGGGATGCACACTCCTCACGTTAAGTCGACTCTTTAAGTGTGCAGTCTTGATCTTTGCTATCTTAGCTTTCTTTCTAGCCCACCGAGCTGTGTAGAAGTTTGTACTACCGCGAATAAACAAGGGGTATTAGAGGAGAGTTGATAGACCGCACTAACAGAACCAGCGACAGCGTGGTCAACAGCACGGTTCCCAGCGTCGGAGATTGATTTACTAGAAGAGCAAGAGTTGCAAAATAGATGCACGTTAGACTTGTCCATTTATAGGCATGGTTAGTACAATCCGGGCGCCCGAAAGAAAAAGTGTCCCGTTACACCCTGTGTCCCGGCACGTAGGGATGGACGTTAAATAATTACACAAAGAAGAGAGCGCAGCACCAGCTTCTTTACAGAGATTTCTTTACAGAGATTGCTAGCCATTCCGGCCATAGACCAAGTGCTAGCATCATGTCTGCCTGAGTGAGAGCTGACAGAAGAGCAGCTTCGATGGCGGCTACGCTTCAGCAGGCTGCGAGAGCACACACCTAGGGTTCTTTAACGGCTCGGGGAACGCTCCACCGCAGGGGCAATTAGCAGCCTCTCCGGCACACGCAGTAGTTCACCCACTACTGTACAGGATGCAGGAGCAACGAGGCCCGCACGTACGTTGGGGAGCAGCAGTGTCAAAGCTCCGCGGATGCTCGCCAGGCCACAGTTATCGCCGGCCTCCGGGGCTGCATCGACGCCGCTTCGGACCCGACTGCTGTAAGCGGTGCCTGCACGCATAGGCTGCGTGGAATTTCTGTCTTGCGCTCTGGCGGACATGGGGCGAGGTGCCATGTCCTACGCTTACCGAGTGGATCCCCTTGCTGTGTGGACCCACAGCCGTGCCCACGCTCGCATGCATGAACGGTCACGTGGATTGCCTCATCCAAGGTTGGGGCGTCTTCCTTGGGCGTCTTCCTTGGGCGTCTGCCGCGCGCAGAGGCTGGCGATCCGCAGATCTCAGCCAAACGCCCTGCTTGCGCCACGTCGACGTCGGCCACGACGAACAGCAGTCCAGTGGTGGGCGCGTCAGCGTTGAACGAATACGGCGCTCCCAATATCTTCCCCGTGCGCAATCGCAGCGAGCCTGTTGGTCTTGCTTTCCAGGTCCTCGTTAGAGGCGGGCACAAGCCAGGGCGATGCCTTCCTTGCCCCATCCGAAGCCGCCGTCGTGTCGTTTCCTGCGTCTT